TGCAATAAAATTTGCAGCAATGGGTGGTTGTCTCCTGCTATACACGCGATGGAGCTTTCACAGATGCTTACCCAGGCGATGTACAGCAACGAGTCGTATCTCAAACAGCTTCCGCACTGTAATGCTGGGCTTTTGGAGAGAGCAAAACAAAAGGCATGCCATATTTTAGCTTGTTGAAAGACGTGAGCAGTATCTCTATATTGATCAGAAGGTAGAATCTGTGTTCGAACTTCTCGAGTTGGATGACGACATACGACGTGATATATTGCGGATGGAAGACGTACAGCTTGCTGATGTTGCTAAATTCTGCAATAACTACCCCTCTATAGAGGTTGAACATGAACTGGAAAGTGATGCCGTTAATGTGTACGTTTTATGACTTCTGTTCTTTTTTTATACTTTCGTAGCTAATGATTGGAACCGTTAATTCCAGTGGTGACTCTTTGCTTGTAAACGTAACCATGGAACGAGAGAACCACGTCAACGGTTTAGCTCCGCCAGTAGTAGCACCTCTGTTTCCACAAAAAAGGAAAGAAGAAGGATGGTGGCTTGTTGTTGGAGACCCAGCCGCTAATGCTTTGTATTCGATAAAAAGGTTTGTTGGGAATGAGATAAGCAAAAATATAGCTGAGTGTTTTTTCCAGACTAACTATCAATGAGAAAGCAAAAATGCAGCTCGACTTCGTAGCACAGACGGCTGGTCGACATGAGTATAAACTTTACTTCATCTGTGACTCATACTTGGGAGCTGATCAAGAGTTCGACTTCTCCGTGAAAGTCGAAGGTATTCTCGTTACTCGCAGTCAGTAAAGAGGTATTCCTCAACTAATTTCATTTCAGACCATAGTCGAAGCAGAAAGCGGCGAAGAGATGATGATTAAGATCTCAATGACTGTTAGCCACTCTCCTCTTGAGAATCCGTTTGTTCACAATACAGGTCGCTGTGTTCGGGATGTACCAGTATCTTATAGTTTTGTTGAAAAATGTTTCTGTACGTTCTAAGTAAAATCTATAGTGTAATCTCTTTATCTTTTCTAAAAAATGTGAAGAATTGATAATCATTTCGACAATTTTTTCTTTGCTTAATTGGCCGAAGAAGCTGAGTGTGACAAGAAGGTGAAATAGCCGTAGACGATAGAAGTACTCTGATGCTCCTGAAAACTCGTTTGATCTGGTTTCCAGTGAGGGAAAAAA